TGTACTCTTGACCAGAAATCGAACCCTCCACCCTTCTGTGCGCAGGCTGGCTCTCTAACCACTGAGCACACCGGCCAGGGTGAGGATAAAATTTTTCAAAAGAAAGCAGAAGGTGCTGTAAAGAAGATTATCATTGCTATTATTGTGAGCATTTGGGCCAATATAAGGAATATTCATTTCTGTAACTTGATTCAATTAAAATACATGGCTCCAGCTTTTCTTTTCTTCTTAAAGCTTTCAGGAATTTGTGAGGGTCGCCGAAGGACAAAGAGAGCTGCCTAGCGATGCTGGTGGAGTCGCACAACCAGGGCCAGGACCGCTGCGTCCTCACCTGCACTGAGTGCAAGCAGCGGGCGGAGACAGGCTGGCACTGCCCCGGGTGCGAGGACTACGACCTTTGCATCAGCTGCTACAACACCAAGGGCCACACCCACAGGATGGTGAAGGTGGGGCTGGGCCCGGATGAAGAGGCCAAGGAGGGCGAGGAGGGCGGCAACCAGGGGGAGATGCAGTTCAGGAGCATCCAGGAGGCTCGGCGCCTGAGCCTCCTGCGCTGCATCCAGACCCTGAGGCATGCCCGCCGGTGCCGCGACGCCAGCTGCTCTCGGGCCAACTGCCAGAAGATGAAGCATGTTGTGCTGCACGCCGCGCGCTGCCAGCGTAAGGCCAGCGGAGGCTGCCCAGTGTGCAAGCAGCTAATCGCCCTTTGCTGCCACCATGCCAAACACTGCCCAGGAAACCCATGCCCCGTTCCCTTCTGCCTCGACATCAAACAGAGGCTCCGCGAGCAACGCCTCCGGCTCCGCCAGGAGCGCCTCCGGCTCCGCCAGCAGCGGATTGGGAACCGCCTGCTGCAGGGGTAGCTCATGCGCCAGCGGATGCCACCATGAACACCCGTCACGTGCCTCAGCAGTCCGCCATCCCCTCCCTGAGCACCACCCTGGACACCCCCACAGCAGCCCAACACACCCCAGACACCACAGCCTCCGACTCAGTCCCAGCCCTGGCCTGTAAGCATGTCACTAGCTGGCTTCTTCAGCTCGGCCAGAACTTCGCCCCCATCAGTGTCCACGGGGAAGCCCACTAACCTTCAGCTCCAGCCCAGTCTGCAGAACCTGAACGTCATGCAAGCCAGCGGGCCACGACCTGCTGTCCCTCCGCAGCAGCAACAATGGGAGGCCTGAACCCCCAGGGCCAGGCCTTGAACATCATGAACCCGGGGCGCAACCCCAGCGTGGCGAGAATGAACCACAGCACAGAGAGATGCCGCGGAGCAGCAGCAGCAGCAGCAGCAGCAGCAGGAAGGCAGCGCTGGCATGGCTGCAGGCCTGGTAGGACACGCCCAGTTCCAGCAGCCCCAGGGACGCTGATGCCTCCCGCAGCCATGCAGCAGCAGCAGATCCAGCAGCCCATTGGGTCCCAGGCCAGCCAAACCCTGTTAGGACCTAACAGTTAGGCATATTCTGTACCTTTCCCTTGCCCTCAGTTTCTCCCGTGTGCTCAGGACTTTCTGTTGTCCCCACTGGAGGCTCCTGTCCTCTCTGCTGTTTTCCTGTTATTCTCATTTCAGGTGTCACAGGAGATAACTAAGCAGCTGAGAAAAGCAGCTCTAGACCCAGCTTCCTGCCACCGCCTGCACCTCCATCCAACCCACCCAGAGACATAAATATCCCGCCCTCCCTACTCTTGTTTGCTGAAATGGATATGCTGGTGTGTTATTACCATTTCTAGCCCTAACCGGCTTGGCTCAGTGGATAGAGTGTCAGCCTGGACACTGTAGGGTCCCCGGTTCAATTCTGGTCAGTAGCATAAACCTTGTTTGTAGGCACATCCCCAGGAGGAGGTGCAGGAGGCAGCTGATCGATGTTTCTCTCTCATTGATGTTTCTAACTCTCTATCCCTCTCCCTTTCTCTCTGTAAAAAAATCAATAAAATATATTTAAAAAAAAAAGAAGCTCATTCTTTCTAATCTAACTCTATAAAAAAAAAAGAGGCAAACACAAACATCCTGCCTTTCCAATGAGATCAATATCAGATGTAACCACATAGTCCCACTTTATAAAGGGAAGCCAAAAACTTACCAATTAATGGATGTAAAAGAATCTCAGAATTAGAAAAAGAAAATTTTTAAAAATAACAATGATTTAAGGGGAAATTCTCAATTAATCTTAAAATCAACTACTTAATAGTAGATGGGGATTAGGAATTCTTTTTTTTATATATATATAATTTAGAACTGTATTATAAGCTCAATCTTAAACATTTTAGTAGTTGAAATTTTATGTGTATGGCTAGGTTTAACTTTTTCCCCCCAAAAAGAGCAGGTTTAACTTTTAAAAGCTTACTTATTTTCCTTTTCATGTTTTTAAAAAGAGAACCTTGCTTCTAAAAAAGAAAAATATATATATTCTTCCTTTATGACTTATGTGGTATTAAAAATGTAAATATCAAAAATTGTGACTTTTTCATGGACCTGTTGCATGTGATAAAAAGCTATTTTTTAAAAATATGCTTTCCATTCATTTAGTAATGTTTGCTTTTCTAAATACCTCTTTAAATATTATAAACTAGCCTGTTGATCATTTAACTTTTAGTAACTTCTCATTATGAACAAATTTTGCATGTTCAGCTTGTCAGTTTCCAAAGTCAACTGAATGGTGCCTTCTGGATTTTTGACTGCATTTGCTCATTAAAACTGAGACCTAAGGAAATATCTACTTCCAAAGCATGGGGAAAATTGTTTATTTTCTATAAATACTAGCCCATGTTTGCCTGTCACTATCAAACAAATCTAACAGCTGGAATTTAAAACACTGTGCCGTTTTGATTAAATATGTTCCTGGGGCTCTTGTGAATTTAATCTGTGTATTATTGTAACAAACTGGATACTCCATCTAGGGCCTTAAAAACATACACGAGTTACATAAGCCCAGACATCAAAAAGGGAGGTGGGTGCAGCTCACTTAACTTCGAATCTTCCAGGCACTGAGGGATAAGTGTATATTAATGGCTGAGTAAAAAGAACATGGGTAATTGTTTTTTTTTTTTTGTTGGCATTTCAAGTGCAAAAGTATCTTTGATGGGTTTTCAAGAATGAATATAAAGTCGATCTGACTTCCAGTCTCTTGAGGAGCCTCACCCAAGAAATTAGCCATGGACGTGGGCTGCTCCCCATTCTTCCTGCAGCAGTTGTAGCTCCTACTTAAGAATTCCACGAAGGACTCCCCCCATTGCATGCGCTCTGGCGCGGCCGAGTCTTCCCAACTGCAGCCTGTTTACTCTTTGGACAGCTGCACCTCCTCCTCTGCTGACCCGAGTACAATACAAATGTTTCTTACTGATATTAAAGGAGAAAAACCTAGGTTGAGAAGGTCGGTTACCATTGCCGTATCCACAGGTAAGGAGCGAAGGCTGAGCAGGCAGAAGCGGGAGAAAGGGCGTCTCTGCGGCTACCCCCTCCCGCCGCCCGGAGGCCGGCCGAGGGCCCGGGTCCTCAGGAGGGTGGGCTCGCACGCTCGCCGCGTCGCCCGGGCCTCCCAGGAGGTGCCTTTTAACACTCGTGCCCATGCAACCAGCTCTCCGGGAGTCGGGTCCGTTGAAACCAGATGCGTGATGAGTAGTAACCTGGCTCTGCTCTCTTCGGAATCTTCCTTCGGTTATTTTTGTTTAAAATAAAACATGGTGCCCCTGGAGAGGAGAAGATGGGGTTGTTTCCTTTTCCACTGGGTCTGCCCGGAGAAAGAGGGCGGGATCCTTGAAGCTCACATGGGGAAGATCCTCCGTCGGCCGACCGCTAGCCTCGCAGGCCCGCGATCACCGCTCCGCCCCGGCCCTGCAGCGGGACAGGCGCCTTCTGGCTGCGCCTCGGGGTCTGTCCCTCCGCGCGGAGCGGAGTGGACGGATCAGACGTGGGCGCCGGGGCTGAGCTCTGCCGTTCCCCTCGCGGCACGACCCCACCTGAGGTCCTCCTTCGCCAGCCCGCAGACCACCAGGCCGGACCGGACAGCGTGCGATGGGTGGCCCTCCCGCACTCCCGGGACCAGTGCCCGAGGGACTCCTTGGCGCTGCGGGATGCTCGGTACCCACGGAGAGAGACGGCACCGAGCCCTCGCTGCAGCCTGCGCCGCTCGGAATTCTTTTTTTAAATATATCTTTATTGATTTCAGAAAGGAAGGGAGAGGGGATAAAAACATCAATGATGAGCAAGAATCATTAATGGGCTGCCTCCTGCACACCCCCTACTGGGGATCGAGCCCGCAACCCCGGCATGTGCCCTTGACCGGAATTGAACCTGGGACCCTTCAGTGCTCTGGCCCACCGTCCAACCACTGTGCCAAATCAGCTTGGGCAAACCTGCATAACTTTTGACACCCCTTCCTCCACAAAAACAAACACCTCCCCTCCAAACTTTAAAACTACACCCAGCTCTGGATACCATGGGGCATTAGTTGCAGGACCCCTGCGGATACCAAAATCCATGAATGCTCAAGTCCCTAAGGCCCTTATATAAAAGTGAGTAGAATAATGCATACAGTCAGCCCTCTGCATCAGGAATTCCCAACCGGATCAAAATACTGTTCCTAATTGGTTGGTTGACTACCTGGATGCAAAACCCATGGACAGGAAGAGCTATTTTTTTTTTTTCCGGGGTTGAGGTCGGGGAGAGAATCCCAGTATAAGCCCTCCCTGGCAGTTCAAACCTATGTCGTTCAAGAATCAACTGTAATCCCAAAGTAACATTATACACATTGCTATCTAGCTACCCCAATGGAAGGGTCCGAAATGCACGTTGAGGAACAATCACACCTCAGGACTCCCATTTTTTTTATATTTTATTGATTTTTTACAGAGAGGAAGGGAGAGGGATAGAGAGAAACATCGATCAGATCAGCTGCCTTCTGCACACCCCCCCACTGAGGATGTGCCCGCAATCAAGGCACATGCCCTTGACGGGAATCGAACCCGGGACCCTTTGATCCGCAGGCCGACACTCTATCCACTGAGCCAAACCGATCAGGGCCCATCTTTTCTTTTGGCGATTCCTTCCAGAACATGCTCCCAGGAGTTGGTGGCACATTGTCCTTAGCAGGGGGCCTACATTCTTGCTAGGAGAAATCTGAAGGGTGGGCAGTGCTCCCAGCATTGGTAGATTCTGGAGGCACGCGTCCTCTAGGGGACGAGGCAAGGCGCCTTCCGAAGGCCCCGCCTCCAGCCCCAGGGCATCGCCCTGTGAACTGCGTTTCCCAGAAGCCTCTGCGACAACGCTCCTTAGGGCCTTGAAGAGTGGCACGCCGGCGAGGTGAGCCGCTTCCATCTTCGCGGATTCCCGGGTTCTGGACTACATTTCCCAGAGGCCCCCGAGGCGCGGCTTCATTAGGAGCGCTCCGCGTTGCATTCTGGGAGACGCGTCCCCAGCGCACAGGGTTTTTTTTAGGCTCCGGCTTCCCTGGATGCCATCCAGCGTTCACCTCAGCCCTTGCGCCCCCTCCCGACGCCCTGTGGGCCGTTGGGTCCCACGCGGTAAGCTGTTAGCATCCCAGGAGGAAACCCGCGCGAGATGCGGCGGGGGGCGGGGGGTTAGCGGGGGGGCCGGCGGGTGTCGGGGCGCCAGACGCCCCGGGCGAGGAGGCCCGAAGCGCAGCCTCGGCCTCCGGCTGCGGGGAGAAGTGCGCGCGCGCGTGTGAGTGTGTGTGTGTGTGTGTGTGTGTGTGTGTGTGTGTGTGTGTGAGAGAGAGAGTGCGCGTGTCAGTGTCAGGGACCGGGCCACGCCCCCGGGACTCAGGAGCGTCGGCGCGGGCCGCAAGCCGGGTCCCCACGCTGTGACGCACCGGCGCGTGGTTGTGCTGGGGGCGGCTCTGCTCCGTGGGGGTGACCTCCGTGTGGGCTCCGGGGCCGGGCAGGTGACTGTGACGTGGGTGTCGGTGGGTGTGCGCTTGTGCGGCCGCGGCCGGTGCGGGGCGCGTTGGGAGGATTGTGGTGCGTGGCCACCGCGGAGCGAGGACCGGGGTGTGGTGTGTGCGGCAGCGCCCGGTGGCTGTGATGTCTCTGCGGCTCCCCTGCCGTCACCTTCCCGCCGGGAGTGCCTGCCTGGACGCAGGGGCCCCAGGGGGAAGTCAGAGCCCGACCCCCGCGAGGAGAGTGACAGCTGGAGGCGGGAAACCCCTTCCTGGCCGTGGAGGGGCGTCTTCTTGTTTGTCGGCAAAAGCTGTCCCCGTTTAATTGGTAGCAGATTCTGACTTGCACAAGTAGCATTCTTTTTAAAAAATATATATTTTTTATTGATTTCAGAGAGGAAGGGAGAGGGAGAGAGAGATAGAAACATCAATGATGAGAGAGAATCATTGATCGGCTGTCTCCTGCACGCCCCCTACTGGGGATCCAGCCCGCAACCTGGGCATGTGCCCTTGGCCGGAATTGAACCCAGGACCCTTCAGTCCGCAGGCGGATGCTCTATTCACCGAGCCAAACCGGCTAGGGCAGTACCATTTTTTTAAAAAATCTTTTTATTGATTTCAGAGAGAAAGGGAGTGGGAGATTGAAACATCAGTGATGAGAGAGAATCATTGATTGGCCACCTCCTGCACCTGCCTACTGGGGGTGAAGCCTGCAACTGGGGCACCAGAATCGAACCCGGGATCCTTCAATTCCGACGGCCAATGCTCTATCCACTGAGCCAAGCCAGCTAGGGCGCAAGTAGAGTTCTTTAAAAAATAAAAATAAAGAAGGCGCATAGTCCTGAGATGGCAATTTCCGCGCTAAAGTGCTCTTCCTATGGGCTACCTGAATGACAGGACAGAAGGGCCTCAGGAATGAGATCCTGTTTTGCAGGGGAGAGGTTCCAGACCTGACCGGTGCGGGGAGGGGGCAGATGCACAGTGACAAGACCCCCGGGACACTGGAGCCCAGTCCCCAGGAATCTCTGAAATACTCAGACCCGAGTTCCCCCTCTTTCTGGTTGGTTTTAGATAGGACATGGGGACAGGAGGGTATGTTTTGATGTCGTCTGTGCTCCAGAAAGGAACTGGTGTCTCATTCTCTCTTTCTCTTTCCCCCAGGCCAGCCATCCTGCATCGTCACGCGTCTTAAAATCAAGGTTCTGGTGAGTTTTGTTGTTGTTCAGCAAATGATTTGTTTATAGGGCGGAGGAATGTTTGCTTTCCTTGACCAAAAATGTCCCCCCAACAGGGACCTATCCCAGTGACTCCCCCCCAGCCTGTGCAGGTGTATTCCCCGTGTCCTCCCCACTGAGCCACCCTCCCCGGTGAGCATTCACTTGGCCGATTGCTCACATCCCCGTGGCTGATGGAATGGAATGCCGGTGGGAGGTTAGTGTTTGCGCTTTAGTTCAGTGTGACTTGGTGAGGAGGATGCTCGTGTTTAGGGGGAACCGAACACTAGACATCGGTGGTCCTTTCACAGGCCTGCCTTTCAGATCACAAGAAAGGAGAGGGTGCCCTAACTGGTTTGGCTCAGTGGATAGAGCGTCAGCTTGCGGACTGAAGGGTCCTAGGTTCGATTCCAGCCAAGGGCACATGCCCAGGTTGTGAGCTTGATCCCCACTAGGGGGCGTGCAGGAGGCAGCCAATCAATGATTCTCTCTCATCATTGATGTTTCTGTCTCTCTTTTCCTTCCCTCTTCTCTCTGAATCATAAAGATATGTTAAAAAAAAAAAAAAGGAAGGGAGGAGAAATTATTTTTTTTAAA